TATAATATATATATTATTATTATATATTATTCAAATTAGCGGCCCACTTTTAAAAACAACAAACCATTCAAAATGCAAAATGGAGGCCTAATGTCTTCCAAAGGGCCGGCAACGGTCGATAAGCGTGAAAAACCCATGTCCCTTTTTTCAGTGCCGTCATGTAATTTCGAACGGCTACTAAGTGAATTGTTGGGATCGTGCAATAGCAGTCGTGATCGAGTAGCGCGCAGGAAAGAAAATAATAATCCTAAATTCTCCTTTTTTGTCTTCCAATGATCTTTATTTTGTAAAAAAAGAAAAAACAATTCCTAATTTGGCTTGCATTCCCCCGCCCCCAAAGACCCAATGTGGTGGGGCGGGGTGAGGAAGGGCTGCTGGGTGACCCTTCTGCCTTGAACATGGCAAGGTTGGTCTAAATGACCTCTCAGGCGCCCTTCCCACTTCAGGGTTCTGCAATGCCGGAGAGACGCGTGCTTTTGTTCCCTATTTATTTACATTCCGGTTAACAATTTACCACAGGGTTGCTTGGGGAACCAGGAGCATTTGGAGGAAGAAAAACAGGTGATAGAAATTAAAATCTGAATTTAATTTATTCCATTCCGTCATGTCTCCAAAGTTGGCTTCTCAGGAACTATTTTTATTTTTATTTTAAGGGAAGGGCAAGGAAGAAAGTGGCGGGGGGGGCAGCTTCCTCTCCTTCTTTCGTCCTCTTTCTTTTACATCCAAAAATTGATGCCTTTTCTCCGGAGTCGTATTGGCCTCTTTCTCCAGCTACGAAACTTCCCTTCCTCGTCTCAATTCATAAATTAATCATTGGCCATAAATTAATCAAGCAAAAAAATAATAATAGTCTTTCGTAAAGAGGAGAGTTTCATCGGCTTAACTTCCTCGTCGAGATGCTTGTGGCGGGGAGTTCCAGAGATTTTTTTGAAGTGAAGTCGCCGGCTTGGTCAATAAGTCTCACTCCCAAGTTTCTAGCCCTCAGTGTTTCTCGGCAGGGCTCCTGGTGTAGCAAGGGCCACAAATTCCTTCTTCACCCACATCCCATCCGTAATTCTGCTCCTGGTCAGCGGGGGGCAGGGGGGAGGAGCGAGCCACACACCCCCACCAAAAAAAATCACCCCACTTTTTCACTGGGGCTCCCCCCAAAAAAATGAACGTTACCTGCCGAAGTTCAATATTTTTTTTGGTCCAATTCACACAACACACCCCTCCAAAGTCCAGCTGTAGGAACAGCGCCCCCTACAGTTCATCGTTGGCCATGGCAGGATTGGTGTACGAAAAGGCCTTCGTGCCGTTTTTGGGGCGCCCCTAAGGAAGAAGCAGAAGAGAGTTTGGAGGGTCCCCCGATTTGCAGTTTTCTCTCTCTCTCTCTCTCTCTCTTTCTTTCTCTCCCTCCACCCCCCGTCAATCTCCATTTGATGGTTCACACATTACTTTAAACCCGGGTTGAGTTGAGAAAGGGGTGGGGGGGGGCTGCACCCCGCTTTCACGCTAGTGCAAATCCTACTTGAAGTTGTGGGTGCTTCACCCCCGGAAGCTTTCAAGAAGAGACTGGACTGCCATTGGTCAGAAATGGCGTAAGGGTCTCCTGCTTGGGCAGGGGGTTGGACTAGATGACCTACCAGATCCCTTCCAACTCTTGTTATTATTCTGTTATTCAGAAGTTGTGGGAGCTTCATCCCTGGAAGCTTTCAAGAAGAGATTGGAACTGCCACTTGTCAGAAACGGTGTGAGGTGTCCTTCTTGGGCAGGGGGTTAGACTAGATGACCCACAGGTTCCCTTCCAACTCTTTGAAACTGTAATCCAGCCCTCGTGAAGAATTCTGGGAATTGAAGTTCCCAGGTGGATTTTTGCTGTTTGTCGCTGCCTTTTGCAACCTTGGGGCCACGATTGTTGGCTTATTCTAGAAATCCTGGCTTGGGAGGGCGGGAAAACCCAGATTACAAAACCCATCGTTCCCTGCCTGCCTGCTTGCTTGGCCTTTGGTCCCAGCTGTTTGCAGAAAGTGCAGGGGGGAAAAAATAAATCACCTTGATCCAACGTGGCAGAAAAGGCCGGTTTCAGTTATTTATACGAAATGAAGGAATGAAGGATTCAATAAATGCATTAAAAAACCCAAATAAAACGTCCCAAATTATCTGGCAAGGCGTGGCCGTGTTTAAACAGCCAGGGCAAGCCGCGATGGCTTCTTGTTTTCCGACGGCTAGAAAAATGACTTGGTCAAATACATTTTTTTTATTTTACATAATAACCAACCTAAACCAAATATACCGGTTTGCATATTATAAATGATTGCTCCAGTGTTGTGGGTGAAGAAACAGGGGTGGGGGTGGAGGAATTTAGCGCAGGTGGGAAAAAGGTAACAGGGAGGGAGGGAAGCTGGCTAAAAGCACTTCAGGATTGTGTGCGCAATTCAGTTGGGTCATTGATTAGTACGAAGGAAACCAAATGGTTTTGTGATTTTTTTGTAGATAGATAGATAGATAAATAGATAGATAGATACGTGTGTGTGTGTGTATACATATAAATATTTATAGTATATATATATATGTGTGTGTGTGTGTGTGTGTGTGTATGTATGTATATATATATATATATATATATATATATATATATATATATATATACATATATATATATGTGTGTGTGTGTGTTGCTTTTTATTCACAAGCGCCGCTTGACTAAGAATCAAGAAGGAGGGAGGGAGGGAGGAAAGAAGAGAAGGAGGGAGGAAAGGAGAAGGAGGGAGGAAAGAAGAGAGGGAGGG